CGTCAATTACCGTTCAATATATTTTTATTCAATTAAAAAATATTAATTCAATATGCATTCATATGTTATTTAAATTAATATTTGATCGTGATCTTTGAATTTCTCTTTTGTTTAGAATTGAAAGACAAAAAATAAAAAAAGAAAAAAATTATTCGCGCGTCGACGTTGTTAATGAAATAAGAAACAAAAAAAAGGAAAAAAAAAAAAAGAAAGAATTTCACTCGATCGTAATAATATTCGCTTGAAATATGTTAGAATATATTATTGTTAGGATTAGAAGAGTGTTCGTTGAATATTTTTTCTTTTTTTTTTTTTTTTTTTTTTTTTTTTTTTAACGGAATATATCATACTCAACGAAATAATTTGCTTTTCTCCTTTTTTTCATATTAAATCAATATTTAATTAACGATTATTATATTGTTAATATTTATAATTGCGTACGGATTTAATCGAATAATCGATCCAATACGTCATTATTATAATATTTCCAATTGGTATTTAATTAATATTAATATAATATCATTTAATATATCTAACAATTTTTATTATTTATTTAATCGACGATATATTTTTATAACATTTGATATCTAGTTCTCATAATTTGTATATATATATATATATATATATATATGTATATGTATGTATATGTTTGTGTGTAAAAACATGTGCGATATAATAATTCAGATTTAAAAGATTATAAATTCTCATAAGAGGTTATACAATATTTAATTATACGATTCAATCGACACATTTTTAACACGTAATTCTGATAATTTATATTCTCATAAAAAAAAAAAAAAAAAAAAAAAAAAAAACCAGAAAAGGAAAAAAGAAAAGAATATTTATCATTAAATATTCAATCAAAATTAATATTAACAACTTGTTCGTTTGCTTATTATTTTTTTCTATTTCATATCAATAAACATATACATATATATATATATATATATATATATATATATATATAAATTATAATATATATATAAATATAAAATAGGTTATATTATATAAAACATTACTGTCATACCGACGGTCGGTAAAATAGAGTAAACATTCGTCATAAAAAAAAAAGAAAAAGAATTGTTTATATTTTAACTCAAAAAACAAAACAAAAAAAAAAGAAAAAAAAGAAACACTAAAAGGAAACAAACAAACAAACAAACAAACAAACAAACGAACGATCGAACAACGAACAAAATAAAGCAAAACTAACGTCATTTATTTATTTACTTATTTATTTATTTATTTATTTATTTAATCTTTTTTTTTCTCATTCTTTGACCAAAAAAAAAAAAAAAAAAAGAAAAAGAAAGAAAGAAAGTAAGAAAAACAAAAAAAAAGGAACAGAAAAGAAACGAAGTTAAGTTCCGAGATCGGGCACTCGAGCACACGCGTTGAAGTTAAATCTTTATATTTCGATTTCAATCCGATCTTCGATTTAATTTTATACGCACGGTGCTTACTTAACGGGCCGCCACCGTCGAGGAAAAACATCGACGAAAACGTCATTGAAAATTATTCAAGTCACGTTCGCGCTATATATAGATTCGCCATCGACGTCCGGCATACTCGGGTTCCTACTAGCATTCTACCCCCTCCCCCTCCCCACCCCACCCCCACACACCCTTTACGTCCCACCCCGTCCCATCAATGTTCCCACCCTTTTCACTCAACCATCCTTGTCTTACTCATCCGCATTCTATCTCTCTCTCTCTCTCTCTCTCTCTCTCTCTCTCGCTCCCTCTGTCTGTCTATCTGTCTGTCTGTCTTTGTGTCTTTCTGCGTCTGTCCCTCTTTCTCTCTTTTCCCCCCTTCCTCTTGCTTTATATCGAGATCTTCGATCTCATTTATGAAAGAAAATTTTTTTTTCTTTTTTTTCCTTTTCTTTTTTTTTCTTTTTTTTTTTTTCTTCCTCCGACACGAGCCCTAGTCCCGTATCGATGACGTTCGCGAGACATTTTGTATTTTCCCGCGTTCGGAGAATAGCGACATCTACTTCGGGATTATCCATAAACGTAATTGGATAATAGATCTCTCTCTCTCTCTCTCTTTGTTTTATTTTTCCTTTTATTTTCTTTCTCTTTCATTCTGAAAATTATCGACGATTATCTTATTCAAGTTGGATTCATCGAATATTACATTCAAATACAATTGTCGAGTTATTGGATTGTTTTTCTTTTCTTTTTTTCTTTCTTTCTTTCTTTTTTTTTTTTTTTTTTTTTCCTTTTTTTTTGCCTTTCTTCCTTCGTTTCGTTTCTTTTTTCGTTCGTTCATTCGTTCTTTCTTTTTTCTTTTGGAATTTCTTATCTCACGTCGTCCATTTGTGAATATAATCCGTTTATTTATAGTAATTTTATTAATAGCGAGATAAATTTTTTTATGTTAACGTTTTGTTTTTCTCTTTTTTTTTCTTCCTGTCTTTCTTTTTTTTTTTTTTTTTTTTTTTTTTGAAATGCTATATATACGACAACGTCGTCTTGTTCGTATTCTCGTTTATTTTTTCGTCGATTTTTTGAATCGTTTTCTTTGCTTCTTCTTTTTTTTTCTTCTTTTTTTATTATCTTACGCGCTTCATTCGAATGAAATTTTCCGATGGAGCCACGTAAATATATTTATAATACTTTTTAAATAATCAGATTAAATTTTTGTTTTTTTTTTCTTTTTTTTTCAATTTTTCTTTTCCTTCTTTTTCGACGTTTCATATATAACGTAAATATCTGGTAATATATTTTTTATTTATTTTATTTTCCATATAAATTTATTATCATAATTTTTGCTTTCCTTCTTACGTTTTCTTACGTTTTCTTTTTTTTTTTTTTTTTAATTTGAGAAATTCAATGAACTCTTTTCTAATATATTCTAATCGACTATTATCGAACGATCAAAATTAATTTTTTTTTTTTTATTAACAACATCGATACAAGAAATTTGGTCGTTCTTTCTTTCTTCCTTTTATAATTATAAATAAAAAGGAAAATTAAAAAGAAAAAGATATAAAAACGTTCTTTATGAGAAACTTTCGAAAATCCGCCATATTTGTTAACCTATCTACCTGAAAAAAATCCATTCGGATTCCGGCGAATGACGTTATCGAATTAGAAACAAATATATGCGATATTACAAAAGGATTGGGCGATCGAATGAAAATAAATTAAAAAAAGAGAGAAGTAAAAACTGACAGAAAAAAAAAGAAAACAAAACAGAAAAACGCAATCATAAATTCGAAAACGTTCGAAAATCCGCCATATTTTTTAACCTAATAAATAATCCGTCTGGATTCGACGAATGACGTCAACGAATTACAAACACTTTAATTCGACCTTACAAAAGGATTGCCTGATTAGAAAAAAAAACAAAACAAAACAAAACAAAAGAATGTAGGTTATGTAAAATCGAATACGTTCGAAAATCCGCCATGTTTGTTAATCCAACGTAAATAATTTATCCGGATTCAACGAGTGACGTCATCGTATTGCAAGCAAATAAAATCGATCTTACAAAATGATAGTTTGATTAGAAAAAAAAAAAAAAAGAAAAAATAAAATAAAAGAAAAAGTGATATATAAATATATGACATGGAAAATCGAAAATCTGTCATGTTTGTTAATCCAACGCAGAAAAAAAAAAAAGAGAAAAATATCTGTTCGAATTCGACGCGACGATCGAATGACGTAATCGAATTCCAAAAGAATCAACGATCGGATTACAGTACAAAAGGGATTATCGATGACTGTAGAAAATTTTGAACGTATTAAACGAGATTATAACGGTTCGCGGATGATGAATTCACGCGACCGCGATTTTGATTTATCGAGAACCTCGACGAAGTGTTCGATAACAATGGAAGTCGAAACGAATGAATAGCCCCGATGACACGTTGATTTTCTCTTCTCGCGAATCGATTTTGTAGGTCGGAATATTTTATAAATGTCGACGTCGATCGGTCAACGTAATAAAATAAAAAAATAAATAAATAAATAAATAAAAAAGAAAATTAAAAAAAAAATCGAAAAAGAAGGAAAATATTATCTCTCTCTTCCTTTGCGACAATGGAACGAGAAAATCGTTCGATCTTTTTGCGTTATCGAGTAAGGATCTATCGATCGTTCCCGATCGTTTCGACATAGATCACTGATCACTTTGATATTAATCCAGGATCTATTATATTTTTCTTAATATTTTATATTTATAAAATATTTTATTGCCTTTCATATTTTTGTAATATTTTATTTTCATTTTCATTTTCGTGAAATAATTTATTCTCATTTTTATTTTTATGAAATATTTTATTCCATTTTCATTTTTATGAAATATTTCATTTTCATTTTCATTTTTATGAAATATTTCATTTTCATTTTCATTTTTATGAAATATTTCATTTTCATTTTCATTTTTATGAAATATTTCATTTTCATTTTCATTTTTATGAAATATTTCATCTCATTTTCATTTTTATGAAATATTTCATTTCATTTTCATTTTTATGAAATATTTCATTTCATTTTTATGAAATATTTTATTTCATTTTCATTTTTATGAAATATTTCATTTTCATTTTCATTTTTATGATAAATTTTTTTTTTTCATTTTCATGAAATATTTTATTTTCATTTTCATTTTTATAAAATATTTTATTAATTTTCATGTTTATTATTCCACATTTTATTCCATCTCCAGAAATTTTACGACGAAATTTCTTTTCCTTTTTATATATTTTTCTTCCTTTTTTGGATGTATTAATTTATTTATTCTCTTTATTTTCATTTTTTCAACTTATTCGATCAGTTTCGTTTGCCTCTTTTATAAATGATTAAAATAGAAAAATGTCAATTTTGAAAAGTTAAAAGTTAATTGAATAAATTGAAAATTAAAAATAATAAAAATAAAATGTTATTTCAATTTTTAATGTTTTTATTTTGAAATTTTTGTTTACTCGTAAAAACAAAAGAAAGACAAATCATATTAAAGCAATTATTTTTTTTTTTTTTAATTTTTCGCAG